AAAATTTAAACATGCATTTATTATTTACGTATTTTTATGTATATGTTTGATGCAAGACATAATCGTCCAATAAGGAAATTAGGGCAAACTCTGCTCGATTTTTGCCGCCAATCTGTTCGCATAGCATGTCAGCAGGCTCTGCTCGGTTTCTGTCACCAATCTGTTCGCATAATATGTCAACAGGTTCTGCTCGGTTTCTGCTGGCATAGCATATCAACAAGCTTTGTCGACAAATCCCGAACCTAATGCGGACACATGGCTATGGATTTGTAGTCAATATCTGATCGAATTTATTGCCAATCTGCTAGCAAATTGTTAGCATTTTGTTGGGAGGCTGGGAGGTTAGCCTTTGAGAGATTGTTTCATCCCTTAAAACTCCAATTGGACGCATATAAAAAAATACGTGTCTCTTAGATTTTTGTGTTTAATAACATATTTTAAAGAAAATCAAATCGGTTCCGGACAGTTATGACAGGTCCCTTGTAAGGTGAACTCAATGTTTATAGGACTATAACTTGGCGCCAATTATTGATATCAAATCTTTTATACAAATTTTATACATTATTACAATCATTTGAGTTCAATTGGCAGTGTGCAAGTAAAGTTTTCTTTTTTGAAGAATTAGGGTTAACATCATATTGGGTCAGAATAGGAAGACTTTTCATTGAAAATTCAAATTCTTTTTAAGAAATTAAAACTACTACCATGGGTTAGAGTAAAAAGACTCTTCAATGAAGATACAAAGATACATACACTTAGGTTCTATTTTCTTAAAATAAAAGATATTGCGTTATTTTATTTTTTATACAAATAATACATATTACTTGAGTTTAGTAGAATAAGATGTTTTTGATAGTACACAATTTTTATAATAAAATATAACTTGGCGCCAGTTATTGATACCAATCTTTTATACAAATAATAATGACGACGTAAAATAAAAATTTACGAATCGGACTTTGTGTAGCAATACCTCGTCTCGTAGGGCACGTATGTCTCTTTACTTGACACCCTTTTTTATCTTTTTTTACAAAAAGATTTTTTACAAAAAGGTAATTTTGTAACATAAATAAATGTACAAGGAGGAACGTACGCGAGGATATCATTGAAAAATAGTAAATATTTTTTCGAAATTTTATTTTACTTTATAATTGTCGCAGTCGTTACATATGTATATCGCTACGTTTGTACAGCATTACGTCAAAATTATTTTGTCCAGAGTATACGCTCAAATTATCACAAATAAATTTTATTATCTCTCAGGTATCTGAAAACAATGCTACATCTTCAAGCTTATATTAAATGTAAAGATATTTCTGCCGTAAATATGCATTCGTAACATAAAAATAAAATAAACGTTTATCATACAAATAAATATACAAAAATATATATTATATATGAATATATGTGCATACACATATAATGTAGTAGTGTACTGATAGAACAGAATGACTTTGGATAGAACGAGGGCACAATAATTATGAGAAAATTTATAACAAAAATGATTAAAACACGAAAAAATATGCAAAACTTTTAGACTCATTTTTCTTATTTTTGAACACATGGTATTATAATTTAGATTCGTTAATGCAAAAGAGATCATATGTATCAAAGAATAACTATCGCACTTAATAGAATCTTTTTTTCATAGATAATTATCATATGCGTTTTTTATACCAACTCCCCATATGTTAATATACATTATATTTTCTTAAAATAAAGCGGAATAAAATACTATTATATTATTTAATTGTACAGTTATTTTGAATCATTCAAAAAACAAGAATTATAATATTGCCTTTTGTTTGTATAAATATGAAAATATCTTTAAAGTTTACATAGATTATTTGTGTATCTGTGACAGATGCACATCTGTGTATCTGTGACATAATTTTTTTAAGCTTTGTGAAGTTATGATGTTTAAAAATTATATATTTCCCTATGCATGAACACATTAATTTATTGAAAGTAAATCTAATATATACAGAAAATTTTCGATAAATTAAATATACATATACTAGACATTAAAATGCAATTCCTGTATAAATCTAATAAAGTTACCTATGTTTAAAAAATTACGAAAATATTGTGTACACATATATGTACGCAAGCGTATATATACACTTGTGTGTGCACTTGTGTTTATATATAAAATAAGACAGCAAAAATATTAAAATATTTTATCTTTTAAAGTATCCTAGAAAAGAATGCTTTAGATTACACAGATCTTATAAAACTGATATGCCTTCTGATTAAAATCAAGATTCGAATTGATAGAGTGAGAGAGCACTACCTTATGTTCTTCTATTTCTAATGATAGAGCAAGAGAGCAATATCTTATATCTTTCTTTATTGTGTACTTTCAGAAAATGAAGGATAGAAAATATGACACATCCACTGTCTCTTTCGAAAGGAACAGACGTATCGAGTATTATAAGATCTATGTTATATTAAAGGATCTTTTTTTCATAAATAATCTTTTTTTTACGTCTTTTACTAAGATACTTAATGTAAGAAGATATTTTAACACTTGTGTTATCTAGCCTAATATACCAAATTTTTTCAAAATTTCCATTTTAATCGATATAATTAATTAATTTATGGATATAAACTTAGAATCTCGACTTTTAGGAACTCAATTTAAATATATGTATAATTATGGATCACTTGATTATTTCTTTTATCTTGATTTTATTTACATAAAATCATCAAGTTCGAAATTTACTCAACGTAATATTATGAAAAATTATATAAAGAATTTATTAATATTGTCAATACTGTCGTAAAAATTACCTTTCATACTTTATTAAGCATGCAAAAGTTTGTCCTTTAGTTTTAGATCTATTATATAAATCAAATTTAATAATCAAATTTAATAATTATATTACTCTTATGAAATGAAATTTTGTATCAATATATTTTTTAAGTTATATTTTTTTAAGGATACTCTTATAGTTATCCATCATATGTAACAATCAGAAACTTATCTCACAATTAAAGATCAGGAACCTTCATACTACATTAATTTACCACATATCATTAACATTGATTGATTTATTAATCATATCTTGATTGATTTGATTTATTAATCATATATGAAGTAGATTCATTATATTTGATATAAAGTCACATATTTTATATTTATGAACAAAATAATGCAATCAATTTGCAGTATATTGATAAATATAGAAAAATCACAATGAAATTTATATAATGAATTACAACGGAAATAAACTGGCTAATCTGTCTGCTGTATTATCGCCAATAGAAAGGTTAAGCCAATCCACAAATACAAATTTTTTGTTTGATGGGAATATTCAATTGAAATATTTGGCAATGATTGTATATATAATTAAATATATATAGTGTTCTAAAGTTTGTATACAGTATTCTAAAAGTCTTGAAATAGTCCAATATCTTGAAAATAAAGCAATCTTAAGAAAAAAACTTTTAAATAAAAGTTACATGGAATTTCGAGGAGGATCAATATCACATGATTATGATATTAATTCATTTGCAGATGAAGTCTCTATTGATATTTTTTTATAGTCGTCAAATGAAATTTGACTTTTAAAATGAAATTATATATTTTTTGATATATAATGATTCCTCATAGATATAAATATTGAGTTATCAAAAAATAATAGTTTACAAAATATTTTATGTTTTATGTCATATTTCAAAATAATATAAAATATCTCGTAAACTACTGACTTTTTGATAATTGTCTTTAATAATCTTAATACTTTTATGTTCAGGATAATTAAAAGAATTATAACATGCAACGAAAAATAAGATTTTATTAAAAAAAAGACTATAAAAAAATATCAACAGCGACTCTGCAAATAAATCACCTTCAATGAATATTATATCATGTGACTCCCCTCTTATTTTATTTAAAACATGTTTCTAAAAAATGCTTTATATTTTCAAAACACTTAATGTCCATTCCAGGATTTTTGGAACATATTTTATTCATATAAACATTTATACACTAAGAAGTACGATTCCAATTTTATT